ACAATAAACGTTAATGTTTTCAGCTGTTACAGCAAGTGTAAACATTGCCATCGGAAGCACAGAAAGAAACAAATTTTTATACACAGACTCTTTTTTTCTTTTTGCTGCTGTTCTTCGTCAATCTTTAACAGATTATTGATTTTTTTCTCTTTCTTTCACATTTTTTTTAGTTTTTACGTTCTATCAACATGACCAAATGAATAATACATCAGCAGTTTAACTTGGAAAAAACCAATGTTACGTTTCTATCATACTAAAGTGTGACAACCAGAAAAAGTTACTATACTAAATTCTGCAATGGCGCACGTGCCGATAGCTACTATCTGGTTAGATCAAACGTCCAAATCTGTTGCGACTGCTATCACTGATGGTGAACATACTGCTGCAACAACGCATCTTTCACTGTGTAAGATCGATCCGTATGTGGTGACGTATCGTGATCCAGCTCTATGCCTCGACTATATTAATCGTATAAATGAAGAAGAGATGCAAATCGTTCTTGTAGTTTCTTATGAGAATATAGCAAGTTTATCTCAATCGCTATTAAGACGATGCGAGGAGCTTCCACAAATTGTTTCGGTCTATACTTTATCGACTACGAAGGACACGAGTGAGCCTTTTTCGAATACAACGAAAGTACGTGGTAATTATACGAACGTGTCCGAACTATGTAATCAGTTAGGTCAACTACCTTACCTAAAACATCTTGGTACGGATGGACTTTACCATAAAGACTTTTCGATTAATGCTGCTCCTCCAGCTAATACTATTGCTAGCCAGTTTCCATTGCCGACAGTAAGCAACAGCACTATCCGTCAAGAAGCTGACTTTATGTACTCTTCTTTTCTCAGAGAAATTTTAATTAAAATTGATTCTACAGAAGCGGAGATGGTGGACTTTTGTAGACAGCAATGTGCCGGCAATGATTCAGACCTCAATACTATTGACGAGTTTGAAACTTACTACGAAGCATGCAATGCAATCTTCTGGTATACACGAGATACGTTTCTCTATCGTCTACTGAATAAAGCATTGAGGGAACTAGATGCCAACACTCTCTATTCATTGAGATACTTTATCAAAGATCTTCACTCACAGTTGGAAGACCGACACTTCGAGCAACTAATGTCATCCTCACTAACTACTAGCAATGGGACACCAAGTCAAACGCTATCGGAAAACGTATATCGAGGACAGCTGATGGATAACGAAGAGTTCGATAGAAAAATTCGATACAACACAGGCGGTTTCTTCTCGGTAAGCACTTTTCTCTCGACAACGCCTCATGAAAATCTAGCTAGCGTTTATGCTGGCAACGGCAGTAAAACAGAGCGATCGCAGAGTGTACTTTTTCAAATCGAAATTGAGAAGAGTGTTAACAAGTTTCCTTACGCTAATATCTCAAAGGAAAGTGTGTTTGGAGACGTTGAAAGCGAAATTCTCTTTACAATGGGAGCTGTATTTCGAATACTGTCGGTAAATTTAGATACTGGAACTGAAGCGGTAACTTGGCGTGTGAAACTGAAACTCACTGGCGAAGAGGATGAGGAACTGAGAACTTTGAGTGAGCATATGAGAGAAAATATCGTTTATCCGTCGTACCCTTTGGCTAGTCTAGCAAGGCTGATGATAACTATGGGTAATTCAGAGAAAGCTGAACATTACTACCTCAAAATGCTTGAAGATCCTGATCTCATCAATGATTTTCGCAACTTTGCCTACATTCATAGTAATCTTGGATTGATTTGCACGCACGTAAATGAAAGAGACAAAGCAAATAAATACTTTACAAAAGCAATTGACATTCTGCTTCAACATTTGCCTGAAACGGATCTATTACTAGGAGTAATTTATAATAATCTTGGTGAGAACCACCGTGAACAAGGTGACTTTGATGGAGCTCTCTCGTACTATAGTAAAGCATTGAATAATTACGAACTGAATGTCGACGCCTCAGACGAAACTGAAATTGGTATTCTGCATAATAACATTGGACTCATCTACTCAGCACAACATCATTATTCGGAAGCACTTCAGAGTTACGAGAAATCGTTGAATATTCGACAAAAGTTTCTTCCTCCAAATCACCCGGAGATAGCAACGACGTATAATAACGCTGCTTTAGCTTTTTATGGTCATGAAGACTACGGTAGAGCAAAAGACTATTATTTTAAAGTACTCGGAATACAGCAGCAATCACTTCCACAGAATCATCCTGATTTTGGAAGAACGTATAATAACTTAGGTACGGTCTCTCACAAAGAAGGAAACTTTCAGGAAGCAATAGACTGGTATGAGAAATCTCTCGAAACACTGCTGAAATTTCTACCTAGTGATCATCCGGACATTGCACGTTACTATAATAACATTGGCCTTGTGTACTCAGATCGAGGCGAATACGCTCGAGCAATTGAATTGTTTAACAAAGCACTTGAAATACGCAGAAAATCCCTGCTACTAACTCATCCAGATATAGCGGCGACCTGTTATAACTTAGCCGTAACATATCACAAAGCAGGTAAATTCGAAGAAGCACTAGAAATGTATCGACAATCCCTGGAGATAAGCTTGACGGATCTGACGAACAATCAGGCTCCAGTTGCCAAAGCATACGCCAATATGTCGTTATTGTATTACCAGCAGGGTGATTACGACAAACAAATAGAATTATCAAATAAAGCTCTGAAGATACAAGTTAACTTGCAGCCACCGAATTATCTGAATATTGCTACAATGTATCATACTTTGGCTACTGGCCTCTTGAAACAAAGCAAATTCAATGAAGCACTGGACGCACTCAAAAGATCTTTAGATATCCGATTAAAAGTTCTTCCTCTAGATCACCTCAACATTGCCGAATTGTATAATGGTCTCGCGCAAACTTGTATTGTCATGAATAACCATACCGAAGCAGTTGCATATCTGCATAAAGCGTTGTCCATAGAGCTAAATTCACTTCCGTCTAGTAGTTCACGTTTATCGATCACTTACAACAATTTTGGTGCAGTGTATCACCAACAGGGTAAACTTCAGGAAGCTTCTGAAATGTACGAAAAATCTTTGGATATTAAGTTGAACATTCTACATAGCAATGATCTGTCACTAGTAGCATTGTATTCTAACCTTGCTTCGCTGCACGATTCCCTTGAGCATCAGGACAAACATACAGAGTACCTGACGAAAATACTCGAAATACAAGTTGAATCTCTCCCATCTGATCATCCTGATTTTGCCAAATCTTATACTAAACTAGGTGTTGCGCAATACAAACAGCACAAATTCAGAGATGCATTGGCGTGGTATGTCAGGGCCCTACAACTCCAACTAAAAGTACTTCCCGAAGATCATCTCGACATTGCAACGACCTACAATAATATTGCATTAGTGTACTCGCAGGAGAAGGATCTTGACAAAGCCATTGCTGGTCTAGAAAAAGCTCTGGAAATACGATACAAGTTGTTACCATCAGATCATCCTCTTATAAGTGAGACTTGTGACAGTTTAGCTGTCATCTTTCGTGACCATGGAAAATATGAAAAAGCACGGGAAGCATTTGAAGTTAGTCTGCATCTTCAACTGAAACAATTGCCGATGGATCACAACCGTTTAGCTGACACTTATAATGGTCTCTCACAAGTTTACTATGAGCAAGGGCATACTGAAGCTGCGGTAGAGTGTCTTCAAAAAGCTTTGGACAGTCATCAGAAGTCTCTTTCGCCAGATCTTTCATCGCTATTAATGACCTACAACAGATTAGGTGGAGCATATTACCAGCAAGCAAAATTTGAGAAATCACTAGAAATGTTTGAAAAGTGTCACGAAATCGAATTGAAACTACATTCACCCAATGATCTCGAAATTGCTGAATCTCTTAACAACATTTCACAAGTTTATCTTGCACTTCGCAATTATGACATAGCCGTCTACTGTTTTCAACAAGTTCTTGATATTCAGCTTCACTGCCTTCTAACGAATCATCCAGACTTATCTACAACTTACTACAATCTCGCAGAATCATTCTTCAGGCAGGGTAGATTCAGAGAAGCAGTTCAGAATATGAGACAGAAGTATAATGTTGATTCAACAAATTTACCACTCAATCACTCTCAAGTAAAGGAGGACGTAAATACAATTGCCATACTCGAGATTCTATTGTGGTATCCGTCATGCTCCGTAGTAGTCGGTAGCTAAAGACTGATGAGTCATCGTTTTACAACCTACTTTTCACTTTAACGGCCTCTATCTTTACGTTGGAGCAGTTTGTGATTATATTTTGTCCTAATGGCTATTTTGATATGACTCAA